TGTAAGTCTGGCGGGCACACACCACTACCAAAATGTCTGGTAGATAGCGTTCAGGATACCTGCAAACACACTGAGCATTTCCCAGCAGGTTATATCGGGTTAACTCACCAGCTGATCTAGCTCAATTTGGGGTCCCCTTCTCATGGACCTTTTAACCACACCCACCAGAATGTGCTAAGCAGACATCCCTTTACTTATACAGAGATGCAAGTGGACCATTGCCATATACATAAAAATTGGTTAACTTTCTAGCTAGGTTGTTCCCCCCCCCTTGGCTCCCGGACTCACTGAGGGCAAATCATGGGCGGCGATGAGTGCAACATGTAGCCGACGGTGGCCCACTGTTATAGTCAAGTTCGATAAGTGCGCCCGTGACCACCGTTGCCCCGACAGTGGCCCACTGCCACGCTCGAGCTTGATATATCACCTCTGACCGGCGGGTGCTCACCCGATAGTGGCCAACTGTCACACTTGCGTGCGAAGTGATCATGCCTAAGCCACCTGTGGCCCGACAGTGGCAAAAAAAATTGTATGTTTCATCACAAAAATTAGAGTTATCAGAGATAAGTGGGCCTAATATTTTTTCAGGGATTTTGATGTTTGTTCATTGATGCTCTCGATAAAAACATGATGCTCTCAATTAAAAACAGTACAAATGAAAAGAACCATGCTAGGACATACAAACATGTTCATGTACATACTGTACGTAGGAGTTATTTGTATATGAAGCTTCCTTACCCCCACTTCTGTATCCGCCCCTGCGCTTTCGATTTCAAAGTGGCCAATTCTAGAATGCACTTCTCGGGTGAAATTGATCGTTGACCCGTGAAGGCAAGGTACACATCCTCCATTTTCTAGACGCATGTACTGCATGACCATAGGCCTGCATAATATGGTGCACATCAAGCATGAAACCACAGCGACCCAGGAAGTGACCTTGCATTTCAAAGCAGTATCCCTGTGCTGAGTGGGAAATTTGTATTACAGGACAGAACCGTCACAGTTCACTCATGGATCGGGAACCATTGGCAAAATGTGTTGCTAATACTAGTCGACGACCATGGGCCGCTGGTACTGATAAGCCTCCGCTACCAAACTTAACCCCTCTGACCCACCAGTCGGCCACTGATTAGTCATCCACACCCCACTAGAGGGCCACCACTGACCCACTGGTGGGACCAATGATTAGCCATCCACACCCCACTAGTGGACACCGCTTAGCTACAGGAAGGCACCACTGACCCACCAGTGGGCCACCCATAATGGCACTCGTGGGCCACCTAATATTTGCTGTCTGGGAAATTTCGTCAGGGGTTATTTCAAGTTAACTCATAAAAGTTAACAGCCTTAGCATTTCGAACTTTGAAATCAGTCAACAACTAGAATTAATTGTGGATCTGTGTCAAAACGGTCAGAGTTAAGAGTTAGAAATAGTCACACTACCTTCCATTGCACAAGCTCATGAGGGCCCTTAATGCAAGGTCACAGCAAGGTCATCTGAAACCACGAAGCCTTACGGCACAGGTCCCTTGGTGTACACAGCACTGTACAATGTACATGTACATGTACATGTACTGTACAAATGTACATGTACAGTACATGTACATGTAGCAACACACAGACGTGAGCTCATTAAATATGCAGCCAGTTGACCACGAGGCACAAACGTAAGCATGCTATCTGCTACCCCTAGAACTGCGGGGTCCGACCATGGAGCTATTAAGAAGTCCGACCTGGTAGTGGGGTGGATGTCGGGCCCCATACTTCAGGGGGGTAGCAATCTGCTTGACTGAAGTGAAGGGACCGATGTACATGTATTTAGGGTCATTCTATATTTAGCCTTAACAAGCATTAAGAAGTGTCAACGAGTTATCAAAGCATATGTCAGGATATGTTCTATGTTTGCAATATTAAATGGGATCCTAAATATCATTTCAGGGTATCACATTATCTAAAACATGTAGGCCTAAAAAGGTATATGTGTTTTGAGTCAAATTCCGAGACAAAGTGGGGCCCGCCCGACACTAGTATCAGATTACGGGCTTCTCTATTGGCAGGCTAGGCCTAAGTGCACGTGTTGGTGCATATCATATGGCATCACTGATGTGAAAATGTGGCATGCTTTTGTTTGACAAAACAAATTCTCTGCAACTTGAACATATGTTGAACTAGCCTGTCAATCTCCCAAATTTCAGGAACGTCAGGGTTTTCAAATTAAACATCGGGCTTTGCTAAACACATCCAATGAACATTCCTAAAGGGAGATCGTTTAATAAATATGGAAACAAATGAAAATTCACTCTACATCAGCAGGAAGAATTACTGTGGATTTGTTTGGCATATGGCGACGCATGCGCATGGCGGATGGGTGGACAATTTAAGTCTTAGAAAATAACTTCGTTTTGGTGTCCATCATGTGTTAGCACCCTTGTACACCACTGAAGCCCTTCTAGCTTTCACTGGTGATATGAACATCAACGCAAAGATACAATTTAGACGTCAGTAAAATCATGGAGGAATAATGTTCTTATTCCTCTTTGGTAAAATCATTCCGGAGCTGAGACTGAAATCATTCCGGAGTCGAGACTGTTTCTTCTCACTTCGTGATGTGACGATTTGAATGTGTCAGTAACGCAGCAACCGTTAATAAAATCCGGACTGACCGTCCAATGTACACCGAATCAATGTCACTGGCGTGATGTTGAATAAACATTGCATTTGGGTTGTTATATCATTGCTAGCTAATTTCGAAAATAAATCAATACTGGGTTATTGAGGAAGTAAAGAGGTTGAAACAACATATGTTTGCGACCTTACGTTGTCAAAACACTTTATTAGGTTTCCATATCGCGACATTATCAACACATTTTTCAATGTCGGGTGCCTAACTCCTTACACTGCATCAACGTCATACTCTTAATGTTGATTAAGCATTGGATTGGGGTTGTTGAAATTGCGACAACCTTTCGACAATCAAGTAACATTGGATGACTGTGAAAATATAAATGGTGAAACAACGTTTGCGACCTTACATTGGCTAAACGTAAAATTTAGGTTGTTGATATCGCGAGACGATTTCAACAATAGCTCAACTATGAATAAACGGCGATATCTTTACGTCGATACAGATTAGATCATCAACGTTCGGTAAATATTGAATTTGGGTTGCTAATATGGCGAGACGATTTCAACAATAACTCAACTATGAATAAACGTCGATATCTTTACGTCGATACAGATTGGATCATCAACGTAGGGTAAATATTGAATTGAGGTTGCTAAAAAAAGTCTAATAAGTTTAATAAACGTCTTTTTACAACATCAAAACTCCGTCACAAAAGTGATATTAAGATACGTTGGATCATAATATCGAAGTTGAAACCACCTGCCAACCAGATTTCGATCAAATGTTAACGTTGAAATTACGTCGTGTGCCTGCTGGGAAAGCTATTCTGGTTAAATAAATCCATGCCTCTTCAAACTTCTTAATGCGTTCAAATTACGCAGATACTTGAAAATACCGCGATTTTGGAAACATCTTGTTGGATTGGATGGTTATTGTGGCTGTGGCTGAGTCAGTGTTGTGACGCTAAAGATCCCCCGTCAGTGACGTGTCCAGCGCCCTGATCCCCCCCAAAAAAAACCTTTTTCTGTTTTAAGAAAACTCAAGGTGTGAACACTTTTGAAATGGTACTTCCACGTTTCGCAAGGCTAAGAACAGATTGGTCAGTCACTAGCTGTCCACGTTCTCCCTTTGGAATGTTGTCCACCATCCACTTTTTGATTGGTTATCCCCGAAATTACCCCATTGTTTTAACGATTTGGCTAATCACAAAGTTTCCACCAGTAACTGTATGGGAGCGTGATCGGTAGGGCTACTTAAACCCCCTGCCCCCATCTCGTGTCTTCAGAAGCGAAGAAGACCTAGGTACGAGTACCATCGTTGAGTGCCCCTTGTACTTTTTGTTGTTCAGTTAGGAACGCGAGCCGACTCCTTAAATCGACTTTCTGTCGCGTTCCTGACTTCTCGCACCATCTTGCCACGTCATCTGTCGACACAGAGTACAATTCCCCAGGTTACGCTTTGGGGAGCCGACCTAATTCGCCTCTCCATACTTTCGGGCTGGCATCTCTGGAACCATCTGTCTAATCAGGTTGAAATTTTGCAAAGAAACAAACGAAAAAGTGTTATAGGTAAAAATTTGGGTCCCGTCATGATGACGTCAGCACCCGATTTTTTAATGATTTTTTTATCTTTTTGCCATTTTGTCATTCTTTTTGACGTATTTCCTGAGCAAAACAAGCGTTTTTAAAATTCTTTTTGCTAGACATCCAATAGCCCAGTTAGGTATGTCAGTTTGTTTGAAAATCTTGTGACTTCATGATGACGTCATCAAAATCAAGATTTACAATTGTACGTTTCAGACAATGTTTGATCATTAGGAAATTCACTGCGTACATCAACAGTCAATTCCCGATTGCATTTCCGAATTAACATCCTCATTACCTCATCCTTTGAATTTTTATAAAGTTTTGACGAATTTTTTATTTGCATACGAATTTCCATGCGTACTATCATTCTCGAACTTATTCAAGTCCAGTTTTAGCAGGCTGTGAAATTCAATTCATCAATTTCAGATATACGTGCAGGTTGGAAGGATTTACATTTAAGATACAGGTTCAAGTATGTGGAATTATAGCGCTATTTAGAAGAATAACTGTCTGATAATTAATTTCGGCAATGTTGTATAGGCTACACAGTGACTTCAGGCCTCAAGATCGTTCCGCACACGTCGTTCAGGTATTGTCGGCTGTTGCCAGGGCACAAGCGCGAATGCCCTGCGACGGGTAGTTCATGCTAGCCCGAGCGTACGTGGTCGAAGTTTAAACATGACATAGCAAGGACTATACGGTCCGGATATTTTTTTTAGCATTCAGGCATAGTTCGGGGACTTGAGTTAACGAGACGATTCTTGCCCGGTCGACTACGCTGACTGACTCTCCGTCACGCGTGGGCCGGTCATGTATGCCTCCATATCCATATGACTGGGACTTTGAATGCTTGACAAAAGATTTTGGATCTATCTATGACTTGCGGTGGTAATGAAGAGTAATTCGTCTGTATGAATATAATGATGCAGTATATTTCTAGATAGTGTGTGTCCTGGTGTACATGCGTTTCATATATAGTGTGGACCTCTGCACATGAGAAGTCCACAAAATGCAGGGTACTATGGCGTTGTGTGCATGGACTTGAACATGTCCACACAATCTTTTCCCCTCTGTAAACAGTTTCAAAGCCATTTTGGGTTCGAGGTTATCCGTGGCAAAATGAAGAGGAAAAGTCCAGGAAAATCATCATCAAAAAGCCATCTCCATGCAAGGAGTTATCTTACTGGCAGAAAAAGGAGCATTACCCCCACACTCCGTGTGTGTCTTGGCAGTGTAATAAGTTGTCATTGTGTCAATCTCGTGAGTGGACATGACGGAAAAACGCAACGTGGAGTAGCTACAAACAGCGTTTATCGATGAGGGCCTAGTGTAGGTGCATGGGAACGCCAACTCATGGATCAACAGATCATGTAGTACGAACTCAACTGATGACATGTAAGCACCACGAACATTTGCACCTGTTTACTTCTGTTCATGCTGTAGGACTCACTACATCATACATATGTAGGCCTATGAACACTTGTAACAAAAATGACTAAGGCGTGATATTGAATTGAAATTTCTATGTATGCTGATATGGCAGTGTTTTTCCTCGAACGTGTTGGTAGGTGAAATAATTTTCACCTTAATTTATTTATTCTCAAAGTGGTTAATATATATTGGGCACGTTGGGCATTTCGCACGATCACGCATTCACATCGTTTAGCCAGTTGAACGTGTATGAAATCTCCATCTGCACTTCTTCAGTGGAATCAGTCTTCCCAAACCATAGTCTGTCAAGAAGAGGAAAGGTACTGATGACAGAATTATGGGAGTATGCAATGAGATCAACTGATCAGGTAATCGAGTGAACTATGCAGATTCACAAATCACATGTAGGGGCCTATTGTAGCATACTGAGTTGTAGGGCCCCTCACATTAAACTTTGTGTGAATGACTCGTGAAAAGCTTCGCATAAACTTGTTGAGATGGGCAACCTTTCGGCGATATGTTCCTTACAACAACTGAAGCAACTAAATAATGACCCATAATTCATCTTTACCGTGTTACGGTATAGTCTGCATGTATTGACAACATGGTTAATTTTTTTTACAGCTGATGCATGTGTTAGTGCCCTGTGGAAGCAGGTTGTATTCTCTAGATTAGGTATCAGCCAAGCAAAGATGACCTGGAAGATGCCACCATAAGGGTGTGACAAGCTGCACTCAAAAGTGCAGTTGCCCATAATTTGGACATTGGTACACACTGCTTACACTATGTACGCAAAAACACTTATGTAGCTGCAAGAAATATTTTACTTGGAAAGTTTTACACCATACTTAAGGGTACCACTGTAAGTCACGTTTTTCATCATATCATTGCAAATACACGTACAGAACAGGACTTCATAAGCATGCCTTTTTGTTCAATACGTACATGTATGTGTGGTATGTGTTTCCAAGTAACCGTTGAAAATAATGATTACTACGCATACATGTATGCCCTTTGGAGCCTGTAAGTGAATTCAATCTTGTTTTGTTTGACATGAGCACGAAAGCAGTGTCCCCAATCCTGACGTTACCTGTGAATAAAATGCCTCGTCTAAAACTCAGAAAGAAGGCTAAATCATTGGAAGTTATCAGTGGAGTAAGCACTTACCCAAGCTTTTCAAATAGGGAGGGCAAAATACAGAGCACTCATATCATAGCTTGTAGGCTCGTTTACCAAATGTAGCCTTTTTGGTTTCTTTTATATATTATAAAACTGATTGAGCTTTATGCCAAAGATTTTGGGTTTTTTACACAAATAAATCTGAGGATTCAAGAACCCAATCTGAGTTTAGTGACATTCTGTTTGTCTGAATCTTTAAGAAATATTTTCCAGGCTTTTGAAAGACGAAATCTGACCTAATGTGACGAAGACGTCATCAAGTAACAAGTGACATGATATCAAAAGCGCATCCTTTAGCACCCTATATCTCCTGCAGTACATGCCCGATTGGGTTGGAACTTGGTACATAGAAAGGGAAGAGTTACAGACGAAAATTGACATCATAGGATGATAAGACCTTCAAGTGGTAAGCCCATTGACATAAAATGTGCAACTGTACTCGAACGATTGTAACTCCTAGATAACTAGGAAGTGTCTGTTGACTCGTGTTATTTTTCCCAATTAATTCTTGAGGAGAACGGCCATTTATTGGTGTTGATTGTTACTTGCTCTTGTCTCTTGCTAATTGCTACACTATGAATCATTTGAACCCCTCTCATGTGCGGTTGTGTTTAGGTTCCAATTTCCTCTTACCAGACGCTTCCTTGCCAGTCACGCATAACCGGGAATTCCGATACCTGTTCCCTCAATTACAAAAAAAAATTATAATAATGCAATTATTACAATGCACATTGCTCCCTGTGAGTATAGGCCTGCACGTAATTAACATTAAACGGTCCGCCGAGCACCCAAATTTTAGTCATATTCTGAAAAGGAGTCGGTGGCCAAATTGGTGATGGGCTGATTGTTTATTTACCCTGTGGTCTACAAACAGAATTAACATGAAAGAACTAATAAATATGTGCACAGACCCATAAAACTTAATAATATCAAAAACATTAACATAAACATCATAAATTATGCGTAATCATATCCATAGTTGACCCAGCAAAATATGTTCATATGAACTTGGATAAGGGCCAAACACACAAGGAACACTCAAAAAACAATAATAAGATGACTCTAAGTTTACCTAAGAAACCCCAATAAAGTCTTATTAGAAGACAATGCCCCTACACCTGTGATTATATACGTGTATAATGTGACATGAACATGATGCAATATGCATTACACTCCAAATGCAACGATTATAACCCCAGAACCCCCCCCCTCATATCATTTTTAGATCAACCAAAATGTACTCACTTTAGTCATCCACGCACAGCGGATTTTTATGATTAACCTGGTAACTGGATGGATAAGGTACAGGGCAATTAGGAGTATGCTCTGAAAGAATTTCGGGAAAATTTCAGGAACAAAGTGATTCGGCGTGGAATGATTGGGCAATTATAATGAATGAATCACAAGAGGGCGCTACTGCGCGCTGCCGTGGGAGAGACGTTTTCGGACATATTCGTTTATATGACGAGTGATGTCTTTGGAATACTCCTATTTTGCTCGTCTGCAACTATTAATAAGCAAGCACGGAGGATTTATTGGTGCTGATCTTCTAACTGTCCAAAAAATAGCTTATAATCTTGTCTCGACCAAGTTTACTGAAATAATGTTTAATACAACTCACCCCCTCAACCCATTTATTATTCAAACGCTATCTGGGATGGTGTGTCAACCCACTCTCGATCAAAACAAGCAGATTTAAATCCTCCTTTGTACAATTGGCCATTCACATTTTGAATGCATCTTTTACCAGAAAATGGGGCTTGTAGTTCATTCGACCCATCTTGTCCCGTCCTCAGTCTGCCTTGCCTTATTCCTTGCCCCTTTCCTTAACTCCTCCCCCACCCATCCACCCTCACTTCCTACCTTTCCATTCCCCTTTTCTTAACTCCTCCCCCACCCATCCACCCTCACTTCCTACCTTTCCATTCCCCTTTTCTTAACTCCTCCCCCACCCATCCACCCTCACTTCCTACCTTTCCTTTCCCCTTTCCTTAACTCCTCCCCCACCCATCCACCCTCACTTCCTACCTTTCCCTTATCCCAAACCTTCCCTTGCCTATCCCCTTCCCCCATGTCTACCCCTAGACCTTCCTTATCGCCATTGTAACTTTAGTTTAATATAATTTAAAATTGTGTCTAGTAACTTGTCATTTTTATTGAAGTGAAGCGACGCGTGTGCGTCGGTTCGGGGTATATTGGGTGAGGTGCTACCCCCTGGTAAGAAAGACCGGTGTCAGCAACAGGCACAAGCTTTGTTTTGATGATACGATTGCTTTAATTCGTCAAGAAAAACCCCAGCAAAGAAAAATTCTGAACATAAATGTTTTTACAAACATATTTTATCAAAATCAATATAATTATCACAAAATAAAATGTAAGTAATAAAGGATTATTTCAACGGGTGACAATATAGGTTCATGGAACTCAACCAGCACCTTGTCTTCGCTTCGCATCACTGAGTGGAAGATACATGTGCTCCCTGAATTGTAACATTACAATTACCAAATATGAATTCATGTAATGTAACGAAAATGTCAATTGAATACAGAGAACTACCAGCGCATAAGGTTCATTTAAATGTCAGTAAATTTGCAGAGGTGCGCATAATAGTGAAACAGGTTTTTGCTCCTTTGTGATAGGCAGTAAATTCGGATACATTCGCGATGCATTCAAAGACCGCAAGCAACCCGGTCAGAGGTCACGGAAAGTTACGAATTATACCCATAGTGTCACTGCAATGCTTGTACATGTACATGTACATCACATGTACATGTATATAAACATGTACATGTACAGCACATGTACACCTACACTGTACAACATAGGAAACATGTGGACGACTGACTTTTGCCAGGAGTCATGAGTAAGGCAAAGAAAGTTCCCATTTTCATATGAAAGTAATTTTAAAATGATTATAAAAGGAATACCAACTTACATAGCACTCCTTGAAAACAAGGATGAGCCAACATATGGCTGAACATCTTCCATATGACAAGGCTAAAATCTAACAATATGGGCAGAATTGTGGCTGTGGCGCTCGCGCGCCCATGTCTTCCGAAAGAGAGAAAAGGAAGGCGGAGCGTCTGAAGAAGCTAATTAATATTCATGACCCTACACTATTATTCTTATGTATATTGGTATTTATTTGCCTACTTTTAACGTACACTGGGAAAACACAGGGCAACCCCCCCCCAAAAAAAACAAACATTTTTTTCTGTTTTAAGAAAACCGAAGGCGTGAACTTTTCCGATATGGTTCTTTCACATTTCTGAGGGTGGGGCAGGATTCTTTGAAAAACTTGGACGGCGGTTTTCTGACAGAATAATCGCATTTTACTCCCTCATCGAAACCTGGATAAACGACCATCTGAATACAAATTCTATTGTGATCATACCTTACAGGTAACTCAAACCAAAATTGTACGGTGCATGGAGGAAACCCTCCCCATAAAGTATCTTATAGTGTAATTCGACCGGCAGAATTAGAAACATTACTGTGGTGACACAACGTTCATGAACAGGTGGTCTGCGCGAGTTACATGCCAAGAGGGTATCGTGATTTGCCAAATGCACGCGCGCGTCAAGCTGAAGAAGTCACGACACTGCCTCGAGTGTAACCCCAGAGCCAAGCCAATAAATCATTTTTTCAGACATGATGGAACGAACGATTTTAAAGGATTCCTTAATCGCAGAATGCAGAAATAACAAAATGCAAAAATCAATGGCACCTACATTTTGTTTAGTTGCAACTAAAACCAATACTTGAAGCTGTGTGGAACGTGTTGGTTCATCGTATGAAATCACAGTGAAGAGTTAGGAAAAAGAGGGTAGAGCCGGCCTAGCCAGTGAAGGTCAAAACTGTCTGACGGAAGTCTAAATCATTAATGTATTAACTGGTGGTAAACATTTCGAGAACCAATCTAACTGACAGAGCTAACGATTTTTTTTCAGCTCAACAAACAGTCGATCCTCCCCTCTAGAAAGTTTGCATTACAAGATTTCATTTCCTGTTTTTCTGTCAGGGCACTCAACAGGACGAGGTCGTGAGGCTGTTTACGAACATGGGATTGACAATCGTTGACATTCGGCAGGCCGAGCAGCGCATCAAGAGCTATGTCTCCGAGACCCCGGTGATGACCTCGCGTCGTATGGATGCACAGGCCGGTTGCAACCTGTTCTTCAAGTGCGAGCTGTTTCAGCGAACCGGATCCTTTAAAGCAAGTCATTCCAGATAAGCTAGTCAGGCTATTTATGAAGTAGTCGATCAGTAAACCAAAAGTCTGCTGACAGTGTCTCCCGACAGGAATTCGTTGTGATTCAATAACACTATCATCACCGTCATCTCAGATCTTGTCCATTTGGGGGTGGAGCTTGATTTTTAAAAGAAAAGGATGTAAAAAATAAGAAGCCGTGAAAATTGTAATTAACATCAATTGCTCTTCAATTTTCATGCTTTAATTACCATATGTAATTAATTAACATATGTAATTAACTGACATATGAAATTAAACATTTGATAAATGTAAGTCTGTTTTTCCGCACCATTTTGTTGGCGTGGCCTGAAATCAGGGCCACGCCCACAAAAAAGGGCCCGAACAAATGGCACTTAAACTTATTTGTGCGTTTCCTGAACTGCCAAAAGAATGGCAAAAAATCTAGGAAAGGGATCATTAAGAGCTTTTGGAAATTGTAATTTTATTCACCCCTTAAAGAAAATAGCTCCGCCTCTTAAACGGTTAATATTCACAACAGGCCCACCCGTAAAAATTATTTTCACTTCATTTCAACCTAACTTTCCACTTTTCAGGATATTTCCGACCCAAATTGGCTATATTTCCCACATTTGAGACAAGCTTCCAAAATATAGACCCTCATTTAAACTTTTTAGGACACACCCACAAATGCTGCGGAAAAACAGACTTCCATTTATCAAATGTTTAATTTCATATGTCAACTAATTTCATATAATAATTAATTTCATACGTTAATTAAAGCATGAACATTTTAAGAGCAATTGATGTTAATCACAATTTTCATTGGCTTCTTATTTTTTACACTCCCTTTTTTAGAAAATCAAGCTCTGCCCCAAAAAAGGACAAGATCTGAGACGGGTCCACATCTTAAAATGACTTTTAGCCCAATTGGAGCCATTACGCCGAACTTCATGCTTTTATCACAAAATGCACAATTCAGGCCCAAAACAACCCTAAGCAGCTCCACAATGCATCAAAGTTCACGGTCCAAACCGAATCTCAAGGCACCTGACAAAAACCTTACATAAACCAAACCATATAAGATTAAAAACATAGTAATGGAACAATCAGCATGCATTCATTTCACACTAAATCTAAAACCACGAATGGGCAAAATAATTGTCTTCCTTCTCTCAAGTAAAGTTTATAGCAACTAGCAACAGCAACTCGTAGTAAGACAGGCAAGTGAAAGGGATAAACAATAACCAGCAAATCACCGACCAAAGACTGAGTGACAGACAAACAAGCAAAAATTAAAAATGATCAATTCGGTATTAAAGGGACCATGCAAAACAAACAGTCTTTCAACACCACCTTTGCATTTGTGACTATGCCTACGTTTTCTTCTCTGACTTTGAATGTTTTAAGCTCAATGAAACAGTATGTTTTGTTACACAAAATTGGACTGCGTGCTCATTATGCAAGATGCCACCATCATTTTATGTCTGTTTTTCCCAAGTTTCGAGGAGCAGTCAACTTCTTAGCCAAAATGCGGGAAACAATGGAAAATGGTCGTGTTCCCTGCGTTGTTACCATCAGCAGTGGAAACTTTGCCCAAGGCCTAGCACTCGCCTCTAATCTACTGAACACTAAGGCCTATGTGATCATGCCTAACACCGCCCCAAAGTGCAAACAGAATGCTGTAAAAGAATACGGAGCAGACGTGATTCTGAGCAGTCCAACTCTACAGGTACCGTACAGCAAAGACAATCTTTAGAGAAGATTCAGCGTTGTTTGGAATAATTGACTGCTTCAATTTCTAGAAGATGTAAATTAAAAGAAACAAAAAGATGTAGTGGTCGTCCAAATATATTTTTTTTCATGTGACTGTTCAACCAACTTACGATCTTTAACTAGATATATTAATTACTTTTAAGGAGGCACATGTGTTTAGGAAAAGCTGCAACAAATTGCAGCATTATTGCACTCGACAACTCATGATGGATTGTCGGCAAAGCGAGAAAATAACAATGGTCCAAAGTACTGAACCAAAACTGTCGCCGATGAGTTTCACATGTGTGAATTTTGGAGGAAAAGGATACACATTCAGAAACAAGAAATGGCCCACATCCTAAGCCATGGTAGCAATATGATTGTCGAATGTAGGCGTAAGTTCAGCGCCTGGATTTGAACGATCATTTGACCACTCATTCAGGATCTCATTCATTAAAACACCTCACGGTTTGACGATTAAAAAGGAAGGAGAATCTGGTTAAAGGAACCAGGAAATAGAAATATTTAATAAGTTTTACTAAAAACCTTTTAAATTGCATATTTGGGTTTCAGTTAACCTGATTTTTGAGTTTTGTTTTGCAATTTCTAACCCATATTTTGATGCTTTTTTATGCTAGCGCTTATTTGCATATTCATGAGGCGAGCAGAACTGGATGATGTCAATCAAGGCACTGAATCTCAATGTTGCACTGTTTGTGCACAGAAAATCTCTAGATTTTTTCCCCAGTGCTATGGCAGATTTCAGTTTCTATGGCAATTTATTGCTGTGTAAGAATATGGCAATAATCCAGCAAAAATCCTTTCACAGAAATGTTCCCCGATAGTAAATTTGGGGTTCACAATTAGAACGTGTAAACATGCAACCTGAACCATGTCTTCCTGGATTTGCATCAAAGCAAAAGCGCCCTCACTTGTCTAGAATTCCTTTGTCAATTTTAATGTTTGAAAAAGTGCACTGTTCAGTTCACGTAACTCAAGAATGATGTCCAACAGTCTTCATACATGGAAGAAGAGTACAGAGATACACAAAAAGAGATTCTAAGAAAAATTCATTCCCTGGATCCTTTTAAGTTTTACGAGACCGCATTTTACAGAGAGAGGCAGTTTGCAATGGGATGGAGATTTTTTAAAGCAGAATCGGGGACTGACGGAAGCAAAGCAGGAGGGTTATAAAAGGTGGAATAGGAGGGCTCCTGTTTTCCAAGTGGAAACTGAAACCCCGGTTATACGGCTGTGACGATTATCGGGGTCAACTGCCGGTACCACTTATGCAGAAGACGGTGAGTTTGGACGCGGTAGCTTACGCGTCACTTTCTGTGAAGCTCTCGGACTCGGCTCCGAATCTTAAACTCCTTAATTAGTTGTGGCAGGTGTCGTGAGGGGTTTCATCCGAGAGGGAATCCTGTTGTCTTTAAATCACAGGCCCTCTTCAAGGCCAGAGATCAAGTCGTACAGAAGACGGGTGCAGTATACGTCCCTTCTGCACAACACTACGACGTCATGGCGGGGCAGGGTACATTATGCACAGAAATGATAGAAATGGTATGCTTCCAAAATCCACCTTTTAAAAAATTCTTCAAAAAGATCGTAACCATCGCTCCGTGCATGCCCTGTACAGTAGTGGGATCGGGTGGCCTGGTGGCACTGTCAGGCAAGAAGTCACTGGACACGCTGTCTTTAGGAGGAATGCTCACAATTGCGCCGAAAATGACATCAGAAGAAAATGGGTAACATTTTATATTACATCTATGAACCATGCGAGCAACTTGACAATGTGCTCACTGAATGATTATAAAGATGAACAAACCAATTCTTTGGACTGGGATTTGAACCTACGACCTCCACAAAACTGTTCTGGGGAGATGAGCTTTTCTGTTCTGTGTCTGTGGTCTCAACAAAGATTAGTTACAGAAAAATTATAGACAAAAAAAGACTTTACTGCATGAGGAAAAGAAGGAATATTCATAACTCTCACCATCACCTGAAGGCTGGTCTCGATAGGAAACTCTGAGACGCTTGGTGGCGTCAAACATGTCGGTCCTTTTGATCAGTTCTGAGCATGGTTCTGCGCATGCGTGCGTTGTTTTGAGCAGGCAGCCTAATTTTTTTTCCTAAGAGGGTCAGGGCAATTATCATATATGGACGTAGTTAACTGCAAGCTGGATCAATAGACCACTCACTAATAAATTCATAATTATGCACTCATGCACACAAATGGCCTTGGCGGAAAAAAGTGTGAGCGGGCCATTGAAAACGTACAGGGGTGCGATTTTGATCAGGTTTCTAGCTCTGTTCAGTTTTTTTCTTCAAAATATCCCAGTAAATCGTTTCTTCTATTTTTCTAAGCGGGATTTAAGCTCCCTCAAAAGACTTCACAATCGTGATTTTTCCTGTGCACACGAGATTGCCATATCTAAGCCGGTCTCCTTTCGTTCTGTTTTAAAGCAAAAACGATTTAATGGAATTCTTAGAAGAAAAATGAACAACGCCAGAAAACCTGAAATAGAATGATCAAAATCGCACCCGTGTACGTTTTCAATGGCCCGCTCACACTTCTTGTGGCCAAGGCCATTTGTGCACATGCGTGCATAATTATGAATTTATTAGGGAAAAGCTTATATAGTGGACACTTAGAAACGTAAGTTGGAAGGTAAATTCGGGCTTTACTTTCCTACTATAAAAACATCCTATTACCCCCAAAGAAAAATATATAACTGCATTATAATGTGTAGACTCGAACCCTTGCCAAGTAAAGCGCTCTTCTGAGCTATCGTGCAACTGGCCAAGGGGGCAATTTTGTTGCATGTTATGCTTAAAAGGTCGTCCACCCCATTTATGATAATTGCCCCCAACCAACGCCCATTTTTTTTATAGTTTACCCCTAACGCTCCGAGAAAAACAAATTATGCGAGCAGTCATGCGTAGCCATGAGCACGCGCAATACTGTGAAAAAGGACCGGTACGTCTGCTGTCACCAACTTTTCAAAGTATCCAATTATTGGCAAGGGCGTAGGCCGTTCATATTAATTTGTTTTTAAACCAAAACGTAGTACGTTATTAGTGAAAGCACACGGGTTTTTGATACACTATGACCGAAAAGTACAATAGTATATATCTGGGGCAAGCTGCTTTTTAAGTACACACTCACCTTCCTCGTTTAAACGCTGGAAGTTGGAGTTCCGCTTTCTTGAAAATCTCACTCCCTATAGGGCCAAACCAGCCTACGCCTCTGATTGGAGTTTGCTCTTCCCGCCAGATTGACCAGAAGTTGGATGCTATCATTGTTCCTGTCTCGGGAGGAGGAATGCTGGCCGGGGTACTGATTGCAGCAAAGGTTTGCAAGAACTCCTTGAAACTATCCTCAGTTGCAACTTACCAGTTGCAACCTTCTTGGTTTCACCCTGACAGAACGGTTCACATGGCCCCAAAATTTGGGTCATAAAATCTGAAAAAAAAAGGAAACTGAATGATATGCGAGATCATTTTAATACTTCTGCCCATTTTAAAATGACTTTGAGCTCAAAGTGTTGAAAATGAGTCATCTGTCTTCTGACTAGCTTGTTTCTTTCAAACCGATTATTTCATGTAGGGCATGGCTCTGAAGTTAAAGCTTTTTTGTTCTTAAACTATTTCTGTGTCGTCACTACTTTTTTCAAGTGTAGATTGCTTTTACGATTGAACAGCGTAAGTTACAAATCTATAGTTGTTGTTACAAATCAATAACTGTATGTTCGTTACGAATCTACAGTTAATATCTCGCAAATGTACAGTTACAGCAGATTCGTGTCGACGAGGGGGTAGGGCACACGTCCACTCCTCTCCTCGTTTCGATCATCAAAGTGTGACCGGAGGACCGGGTTGGGTAAGAGTAACTAACGCGCTGCTGCCGTGACTCTGATTGTACTGGGCCTCGTAATAGCTACACTTAGAAAATTTAAGAGATACCGGGAACACCTACACTCCAGCCTTATTGTGTACGTTTGCCTTTCTCTATAGAAAATGACAAAGGTTGTTATCCCTCGTGTTTTCAAGATGAATGCTTTGTAAAGCAAAATTTTCAACAAGAATTTGAATTTTCTCTTCACCTTTCAATAAGGAATTAACTTGATGTATTTTGGCTGCATTTCTGTTTCATGGTTTTGCCCATTCTTTTTTTTTATAGTGTTGGATTATAGCTTAATTGAATTGACACATCTTCTAGTTGTTCCAGATCATAGCTGTCCTGAGGTGACAGATCTGTCAGAATGGTTTCTCCCCAGCACATATTAATCTTGCTTGCCCGTATATTTTCTTGTATTGCTAAAATTTGTGGCGCTATAAACAATTTTAGGAGGAAATGTGCGCTTTATAGAAATTCTTAAATTTCGTTATTTAACTCCAAAATTGGCATTGTAATTTGAATCCAAAGTTGCTCATTCTCCAAGTGAAATAGCAATCTGTAGTGAGGGGGCATTTCAGAATTATTAATATAAGAACATGTATTTGTATCGGTGAAGCTCATTTTGAGTGGTGCGTAAAGTGATTCTTAAAGTACTAACCATACTTTCACGAGGTTGATATAGCATTCCTCAATTTCATAGAGTCCTGTGGTAGTTTTAGTCCGGAAGGTTTCGCTGCAATGACACACGTATAATAATGAATCCAAGGCGCAAAATATCCAGCACTGAGTGTCGACTGCACAAATACTCTCATGAAATTGATATAGCATTCCTCAATTTCATAGAGTCCTGTGGTGGTTAGACCGATAGGTTTGGCTGCAATGACACACGTGTAACAATGACTCCAAGGCGCAAAAGGAAGAGAAGCAAGTATGTATTCAGCACTGACGGTGTTGACTGCACCAATACTGTCGATGTTTGACTTAGCCCAAACCCGTGCACGTTAATGAATGGAGCAAAAGTGTGCACTCAGCCGTAGGGTAACAGCAAGAGCGTCATAGACTAGAGACTCTGTGTTCCTGTAACAATGGAAAATAGTGAAGTCAGATAATAGACTCGGAACTGTAGATTCGTGCAAGAATTAAGTCGGTTTGCCCCGCCCATTCTTAGCGCGAATGTACACTTCCTCGTCCATTTTCCTTGACCTAATTTGAAAACGCCGGGTGATTGGTCCATCGTGGAACTAATCAAGTGCCAGTTGTCATTGTTATGTGAACACCTGTCGGGATAAGGGCCCAATTATCCGATAAACATAGCATACACTGTGCCTGGGGCCATGGAGGAAATCCGAGGGCCTTCGAAAAATTATGGGGCCTATGAAAATACCTATAAAATAATAAAAAAGTGCGTCGAAAAATACCCACACCCACGCACACATAAGAGAAGTCTTCCTCTGAAATCTCAGGTGTGAGAAAATTTCAAAAGTAACCGAAGGTTTACTACATAACTTCGAATTCGATAATTTGAAGGCTCTGCGCCAGGCAGCATGAAATTAGTTATGTAGGTTGCGGTACATTGAGTGCAGTAGGAAGTGCTAAGGGCAGCTGACAAAGGGCCTTCGCGTACGGTATACGGCACACTTTATCTGGCGAAGTCCGGATCGGACCCTCAGACTACGTAAGTGATTACCGATTAAGCGTCTTCCGCGGATAAAACTTTGTTCAGTGATTTTCGTTAGAACCATCCATTACAAAGTCCATCATAAGGCCAGCGTAATTCTTTAAAAAAATCAAGTCTAAAGTCAGAAATTCGAATCAAAAGCCAAGCCACAAGATAAGTTGCTAGAAAGGAACGGCTTGTTACGACTTAGGTGAGGATATAGGCGGCTCGCGTCTTGTGCTCAGTGGGCTAAGTTTGGTGGGGTGTGTAGACTTTAGGATCTTTAGTTTGGATACCAGACTACAACACTAGTTTTAATTATAACGTGTACGTGCTCATGGGGAGGAGGTTGTTGACATTGCGTACAAGAGGGTCTGACGAAGAGCTTTAAGTTATTGTTGGAAAATCATTGCGCGTGCTGGAAGCCTTGATTAAAATCATGACCAGTGATTGACATCTTTGGTCCACTTGCACCTTATAGTCCTTGCAGCCGGGAATTCAAGTGATTGCTGCCGAGCCCGAGGTAGCAGATGACTGTTGCAAGTCGTTCGTTGCTAAGAGACACATCAAGACGGATAGCCTTCCCTTTACCATCGCAGACGGTTTAAGGGGGTCCATCGGCGACCTTGCGTGGCCAATTGCTCGGGACCTCCTTGACGGTGGTATCACGGTGACTGAAGATGAAATCAAGGTAATGGTGGGAAATGCGTCACGAGCGATTTCCTGAATTGTATACGCCAAACTCGTCGCTGCCTGGACTTCTGTCGGAGGTTTGAGTGCTTCCAGGTTGGCTTCATGAGGTTACAAAGCCTAGAAATTTGCGTTTAGGGGTTGGTCGACACGCCAAAAGTAATTTTATGAGACCTCTGGAAATACTCCGGAAAAAAATATAATTGAAAAAGAAAAATCCTCCTCTCACAGGAAAGTACTATCGTCCGAAGTGATGATGCCTTCGATTCACCTAAAAGAAATACATGTATTTTTTTTCTAATCCCTGCAGGAAAGTACTAAGCTGGTGTGGCAGTGTATGAAGCTGTGTATTGAGCCCTCAGCGGGGGTGGGCGTGGCTGCCGTGATGTCAGACAAATTCAAAGCCGCGTTCCCAGACGTTAAGAATGTGGGGATCATCTTGTGCGGAGGTAACATCGACCTAGACTCCATGAAAACTTGGCTATAGAGACTGAACAACCGGGATTAGAAACTCTGCACGATAATTAAATACTCTGGTGATCTATTTTGTAAATTATACGTCATGATATTATGATGTTAGAACACCCCACTAAAGGGACCACCAGACAAGGCAGACGGAAACAGAAAATACTGAAATAACAGCAAAAACTGTATCTATATGTATTACATGATGGAGTGCGGCTAGCAGACTGTATATAGAATTAATGAACGTTTATGAGACCAATGGTAAGATTCGCCTCGTGGAAGTGGTATGGTATATTTCGTCTGCCACCAAAGGAAAATTGCACAGATTTGAAACATGCATTATTTGTTTTATATAATACATGCACAAATCCTTTTCTGTTAGGTCCCAATCGTGTTTTCCCGTGCGTCATTTGGCGAAATAGATTCGTGTCCGGAGCGCCACCCACTGGTACCGGGTAGCACATGTACCGTGCAATGTTAGACTGGTTCCATCCCTAGATTATTGTTCTCTTTCTTACTGGGAGTGAGATATATGAAATGGGGGCGGAAACCAGTCAATTGAATGAAGTTTTAGCCAACGGCAACCGTTGAATATAGCGAATGATTTAATAACACGTGATCAACGATCCATCAATCAATTGACGAGAATTTATGCAGGTATATTATAAACAGAATATAGCAATTTAGCATATAGCAGTTTAAGGGAATATCATGTATTTTAATTTAGCAGTGGGCAAAGACACTTAGGTCTGGTGGTATTTTCAGTGCCTACTTTTGTTAGTCCGGTTACCTGGTTCCGAGTCCAGTTGTAGGTTCATCTACTGGAAACATGTTGGGTTTAGAGTGCTTGGAATTTATTGCAATAGTTGGTCGGTGCGTAAATTGCCTGATTGTTGTCCTGTCTTGTATGGTTTTATCTATATTCTTTGGTAATATTTTATCCACATTTAGTGATATTTAAGCCTGTTCATACACGAAGTGTTTATTTTAAGTCTTTCCATAAAAACAATTGTCTTTAATAATGATTTGAGTATGCTTTTTAAACGATTATAGAAATTGTCTTAATTATTTTGTAGACTTAGCTCTACATGAGGGGAAAAGTCAAAAAGTATTACTGAAATGATTTTATATCAGATACGGGGAGCTATGCGTCCCTTGGGTGTTCAAAACGTCATATCCCACACCACAGCGGTCAACAATTGTTTTGGCATACCTTTGTCTTAAGGAATTTATCCAAAGAAACAAGCTCTGAATTTCAGAGGACGACAGGCCTGCTGCAAAACTGTCCAGTACCTATAAACAGACGAAACCGATATCGTCTGCAAATGCACTCTTCCCTCACTTTCTTTAATTGCATTATTTTAATGTGAAACGAGTGTGGGTACCAGTGAGTACCTACTCCGTGATCAAACAAGTCTCTTGTAAAGGATTGGAAGACGGCGACAAAGCCTTGTGTCCTTAACTCGTGATCTCCACTAACGGACGTAGAAACAGGTGCTCCGTCAAAGAAGGCAAACGCCCATTCAGGATGGTGAAAAGCAGCGCGTCTACAAGAAGCGACCGCCCATATACATGGTAATCAACTGCAGTCAGCGGACTAAACTTTTACTAGGCCCTGGGGTTATGGTCACAGAACCTAATCGTTACGACCAGCAAGCTCTGTTTGCATTACTGCAAGCACAAGTAAACCTCGTTCTCTTTGGACCCAAACCGGATGTTCCTGAAAATGGTGACATTCGAGGCACTACGAGTACTGCTATTTGTGGGAATTAACAAAATGCCTTTCGGTACTGCATGTACTGGTCCAGATCTCAAGTTCTGCGGAGTCCCTTCAACCTAACGGCGATGTCTTGTTACCGTTTCAGTGAAATCTTTCAAATTTTCACCATGCCGACAACACAGCTCCTGTCTCTCCCTGTGACAGACTGTTTGCTGCTCATTGTACTCCCATAGTTTCTGGCGAAAGTGCAAAGGACAACTCAGCTGGAAACGGTACATATCACTATCATGATGTCAAGCAAATTGGCCAAATGGAGACTGAAGTGTTTTTCTTTGAACGAGTCAGAAACTGTACAACTGCATATTGCCCTGGAGAAGTTCACGGGGTCCTGACCGAGGTCTCTGCTCCACAAGCCTAATGGAACAAAGGAACCATTTTTTCATGTTGCCAAGTGACTTTCCTATAAACAGAAAAACTTGAACAGAACTGAAAATAGTCCACAAAGAGATTGAGATTCAAATCAAGAAGGCCGGAAGGGACCACTACAAACGAAAACTGGAGAGATTTAATGACCAGAATCTAAGTATTGCATGGCAAACTATGCAAACCATGACTGGCTACAAAGACAGATGAAGTCAGGTTCGGACAGTAGGCTGGATTTTGAAGACAGTTTCAATGCTTTTTATTGTAGATGCGACACAAAATTAATGAATTCATGCCTGATAATGAACGTATTGTGCAATCCGATCTCTGGTTAAGGACTCTGGTGATAGTCTTATTGTGGGTGCGCATGATGTTAAGCAGATCGATTTCAAGAACCATTCTGAATAAGGCCTGTGGCCCTGATGGTATCTCATGCAGAGTGTCACGCTGGTGTAGCCAGCAACTTGCCTCCATTTGTATTTTCCAGTTGGTTCTAACATAGTGGTTTTATTCCACAGTGTTGGAAATCTTCAATTATAATTCCTGTGCCAAAAAATCAAGAATTCAGTGGCCTTAACTTCCAACATTATGGAAAGCTCTGAGGAGATTCTTTTACAAGTTTTAAACAGTCAAATTGGTAATGTTGATTCATCTCAATTTGCATATCAGAAAACAGAGGTATTGAAGATGCAGTTGCCTTTTATCTCCATTAACTGTATACACATCGAGTGCTTTCAAAGCGATCGTTCCACATATTTTAATCAAGAAGCTATTGAAATTGAATGTTACACCACAGCTTGCATTAGTTACACCGAGTCTGACCACACGGCCCCATTGTTCTCTAAACATAAAGTGCTAAAGGTATTTGACCTTTATAAATATCAGTTAGGTAAATTTATGTATAAATGTATGAATGATAAGCTGCCACTGTATTTTAAATTATACTTTCAACTTACCTCAAATGTTCACTCATATCATACCAGAAGTACCTCTTAAAAGGAATTATATGTTGATGCCAATAGAACTTCACTACACAAAAATAGTCTTATACAATGCGGTGTCCAATACTGGAATAGCCTAAATGAAATTATAGAAGCAGCGCCCACTTTATTATCATTTCTTCTAAAGTTGAAAAATCTAAAAAAAACAATTTACAGTTCTGTGTAATGTCCCCGCACTTTGGTCTTTTAACTGTAACATTAATTGGTTAGTGATGGGCATGTTGTATTTTAATGGTTTTAGACTTGCCAGTGGATGGAAGTTGAATTTCTGTTCTTTTCTGTGGACAATAAATTGAAATTGTTGGGTGAATGGTACATGAGCCCAACTCTGATCTCCAGGTTATGGTATGCCACACCACACTCATTCCAGGACAGGAGTTCATCCCCAGTTGAAACAAACGCTATCCCATGGCAGAGCACAAAACCAGTCACCCCCTCTAGAGGTGTCATAGCGCCAGCTTCAGATTTTGAAAACAAAATGTCATGTGTAGAGTAGAGCACGTGGCTGTGTATACAAATTGTCGCCTGCAAGAAACGTGATTGTGTCGTTTGCAACAAAATCACACGCACACACAAATCCGATTAAAAGGGCAAGATGCCCATTAAAACTACTGAAGAACAGAAGTGAACAGGTGTGCTTTCAACACTCAGTGTGCTTTCAACACTCAGTTGAATGACGGTCTGCACACTGACTACTACAAGGCACACCTGACGTTGTAAGACCATAGAGCTACAAGCTCTATGGTAAGACAGACTATTCCACAATGTAGTTGCAGTAAATTCAAAGGCATGATCCCCGGTTGTTATCCTGCTATGAACTGAGGGATAGGAAAGGAGGACACCATTATCTTAGCTACGCAGACTGTAACGAGACTGTGGTCGAACATGGATTAACTTAGATATTCCACGTAAAATCTTTTTTAATATTTTAAACTTTATCCTAAATTAAACTTTATCCTAAATTAACAAATAACCACCGGACAAACAAACCTCCGCACTATCGCACCAAATGTTCGGGTTTACGAACCCTATACCTCAGTTATGAGACTTTTGTGCGTTCGAACTATCGACCATTCGGACTATGGAACCGTCCGACAGTCAGTCACACCCAAGCCAGTTTGGTAAGTCATGGCAACAACGCACGCACAAAAAGCAGAGGTCAGTTGGGGTTATACGCACGCGCAACTTCGGCCTCATTTCACAGGGGTGCACCGCAGCAAGTAAATTCCCATGGAGAGCAGTGAGTGATAAATCCCCATACTTCACAAATGTTTTCAAAATACAACTCTCACAAGTGTTCAGGCTGTACAGACGAATGATGTTCCACATGTCCTCTTTCATTTTCCTTTCAATTTTTTTGTGGGTTGACCGATAAAGTTTTGAGAAATTCTCACCCAAAGCAGACCAACTCTAAAATGAAGGAAATTTCACTGCCCGGAAAAGTAGCTATTTTGGAAATGCATCCCTCTCACCGTCCAAACGAAAAAGTGCCACTTTTTGACCGACTTCATCCAAAGTGCTCAGAATTGAAAGACCTGAGTTCGACCGAGAGGTTCAGCGTCATATTTCTTCAATTCCCCAGTTCCGTGGCTCTCAGAACCCTCAAATATAGAATATTTTTGAGTTTATAACTTTTATTAATGAGCTCGGCGGACATATTTCTGGCCTATATAGTTACGTAGGTGCACCCGCAGACAGGCCTATCAGAATAACTTTTTGGTATGTGGCAGCAAACTAAATGGAAGTAATAAACAATTTCCGGATTTGGACAATGTTCAGACTCATTATGCTCAAATAAAGAGACCATACTTTGCGCGGGGAGTGTCCCAGATAAGTGTAAACAAAAATAGCATTCGAGAAATAGGAAGCAGTATCATTTCATGCCGCCGTTTTGAGAATAATTCAGCTGTGCTAGGCCACTCAGATTGACAGGAGTAACGTCTGCTGAGTGCCTTGTTCTACTCAGAATTCTTAGGATAGGAACGATTTAATGAGCTGAATATAAATAGAACGCAACCCGTCGACCCATTTTCGTACGTCCCCCTTTTCAACGGTACAAGCAAGACTCCGTGTGCAGAAGTCCATTCCAGTGTAAGTTTATTGACATCAGATTAGAAATTTTTGTCCGCATCATAAAAATAGGCCTACAGAAATTTAATTTCTATTGGCACTGTTAAGAATATAAAAAAAATACATATAGTTAAAACAAAACACTTTATTTACCAAAAACATGCACACACACAAAATACGCTCAGTTAAAATGACGTATATCCAAGACTGTAACAAATGTTACAGGGTTCTTATTGATATTTTAACTGGCACATTTCTGAGTACTTTTTATATGTACCGACATTAGCCTCAGGATGAGGCAAGCCCGTTAGCGTTTTGTGGTATTTGAAAAGTTTTGTACTAAAACTGGTGTTCCGGAGGATGTCCAGCTAGCCCGGCCCAGTGTTGAAGCGAGGAATTTTTGGAAAAGTATACGGGCAACACACTTTGTAGATGACAGGCTTATGATGTCCAGAAATCTTAAGCTTAATTTTGTCTGAAGCAACCGTTAACGTTGTTTAATTTACTTTGTCATCGTTTTAGACTTCTGAGTTTTCGAAGTTGTCAGTGATTTTTTAGGTACTTTGAGCACGAAATAACTTGTATTGAAGATCGTTACATATACTGATATAAATATTTTCAAGCAAAAAAATAGGGGAGGAGGGTTGATGTACGACGTCAGTGTCATGTGGCAGCAACCTATAAGTAGATGTAATAAGTAATATTTTTTCTTTACACCACTCACTATCTCCGGATTTGGGCAATTTTCAGACTTATGATGCTCAAATAGAGAAAAACTGTTTATAGAGAGTTTTGCATGGGAGTAAATCCCAGGGGATGGGGTATATACCCCCCTTTTTGAGGAGGGGATGGGGTCTATTGAATCATTCCCCCCCCCACACACTCACATTTTGTGGTGAGCAAAAAATTATAGCGGATTGACAAGAATGTTTCGAATTTCCAACTATCAAAATGCATTCAGTACCACTAAAAAATCGGAAAACAATTTCAAAAATCATAAATATGTTATTTTGAATACATATTACAGATGATATCTTGAACACTGACCTCAAGCCTATATAGATTCATATGGTGTCGCCATCCCCCCCCCGGGTTTTAGAAATTTTCTTGGCCGGGCAAGTCATCCCCCAAATTTTCGGCACAAATTTACACCACTGGAGTTGCGACAGGAGTATCTCAAATCAAACTGGAACCAAAAACCGGTGGATTATTCGTCAGTGAACATAGATAGTTACCACGCATTAATGAACAGCTATTTAGGTACCAATGTCTGAAGTTGGCGGAACTCTCTCTATATATGGATACAGCTCTGACTCAGTCAACTGGATGAGATGTCATGTTTTTATCCCGAATGACCTTGCCTCGTTGAAACGCCAAATTAGCTGAAAGAGAATTAGACATTAATAGTGCAACATGGTGCACCAAAAAATACATGTATACATGTATAATAAACCAACCACATAATTTATTACTCCATAAAATACACAGTGTTTTTGTCACATATCAAACTCAATTTAGTTTAAAAATTAAAATAATGTACACATGTACATGAACATTTAAACCTAGAATAAACTTTTTTACAAGTGATCGCAAATTTCACATAAGATACCCGAAACAATCGGTAGCATTAAAATGGGGAAACATAGGTAACAAAATATTCAAATTGGCACTCTGTAAGTTTTGAATAAATACAATGCCACGTGGTCCATAAAAGCAAGCAGTTTCGTGAAAACTGTGCAGAATAATATTTGTGCTGTCAAATGAATGGATTTCGCGATCTTTTCGCAAAAGGCCAACAAACATGATCAACCCGGCTACGCGTGTACTTGATTTGGCGAGATCGTCTCCTACAATAAAAGAAATCCGAGACTGAATCAAGCTCGGGGAACAGCGATGTTTTCAATCACAAATGTGCAATCGATACAAATTTTGTTTTCCACTTCTGCGGAAGCTCTTGATGTACACAATAACGCTACATTTATTGCTAAACCGCGGAGGCGTAACTACGTGGGATGGAAGGGGGATTCCCATGGATGTCTGTGCTCCTCGGGTGGCCCCATTGGACATGAATCAACATATGAAGACATTGGAAACCACAGTTCGTTTGATTTCAGCCCTCCCTCCAAGTCACCGGTTATACGCCAGTGCTAAACTGTTTTATGACATCAAAACAATCTTCGGAGGAGTTTTATTGGGTGTGGCTTCCTCCCCGCCCTCGCCAAGGATCCTTCAGGATTTATTTTACTGCGTCGTCACCCGAAAGCCCTGGTTTTTTATGCTTATCACAATGCTACAAAATACAGAACTGATCGTCCCAACTAAAACATAAGAAACAAAATTGTAAAAGTGAGGACGGTCAGTCGAAGAAAATTAAACAAACCAAAACAGGGGGAGGTGTCGTGCTGACGTGCTCTTTCTGCATAAAAGCAAGCACAAACTCTATCAAAGACAGAAATAATGTTTATACTTTGTTCTGTTCGGCACATACGTGTAATCATAAATATATACTTTTGTGATGAAAGCAAATTATAAAAAAGATCCACGTAAGTACGACATTGACTCTCAAAATTGGCTTGAAATAAAATTTGACAGTATGGTGTTGTAAAAAAAGTATTATTATCTTTCATTAAAATGATATTTCAATATTTATCACCTGGGCAGAAAATGGGGTTTGTATGTGAACACATCATCTGCAGAGAGTTAATAGAGTGCATATCCTGAGCCGGGGGCACGGTTGTCCGAGTTGGTATACCATCTGTTTTTCTTCGTTTGAATGATGAGATTGACGGCTGACACCAAGGGCAGATTTTTGTCTTCTATCTGGTCACGTGCTGACAAGCCGCCGATAACAGTCTGAAATAGAATATTGATGAACACAAATTGATCAGCAGTTGATTTTGCCAAAATAGTAGAAAAAGGGTGGGGATTGATTTGCCGTGAGGCAGCCCGGGCGTACAGCCCGACGTGACCCGCAGTCTTCTGGATGTCTTGCTCTGTTTATCTTTCAATTCAATAACGAAATATACTCATCTGGTGTTTCAGAACAGAATCCTAACAACTGCGCCTGTTACTGGGATACTTTAAACCTATAACACCTGGAGTAGACCTAGCTATAATATGCTGGACGATGGTTTGATATATAATCACAATATTTGCAGCATTTTGAATTGAAATACTAAGGCAAATAGGGATGCAGAGCCATGCTGTACAGTATATTATACTGTATCGATACATATCATCATGAACTTTTGGCATGGGCCTACGAAAGTTAATGTACAGTTTCACTAATCACCACATCAAATATCGCAGCACCGAACCTTTCGAATGATCCTACACTGTAACTCTAATAACGATAATCTTTGATTAATTATAAATTTCTGTTTTAATCATAGAGCTATATACAGCTGAACCTCGTTGAATAAAAGGTCCTTCGGACTTGGTAAATTACCTTGTTATAACAGGAAACTGGTATTATCATCAATGAAAACAATGAAAAAGGAAAAAGAAAGGATTGGGACCTAAAAAGTTCCTTGTTATGAGCAGAATCTTGTATTTACAGTGCTCTTATTAACGAGTTTCGACTGTACAGCTCTATGGTTGTAATGTACATGTATACAGAGTATGTGGAATTCGGAACAAGCTAGAACGAATAGTCCAAAAATAGTCCCAAATTCTTCTGGTACCACTCGGCCTAATACAGCAACACGGTGGAAATGAACTTACAGAATCTAGTGCACTTTCGTGACCGTACTCCACCAAGTCGGTGGCGCTGACTTGGCTGAGATCCGCGTGGAATCTGGCTCTCTCCATTGCGTCGATAACATTATCTTCGAACCAAATAGTCTGTACTGCCATCTACGTGGGAGCATGGAGGAAGACATTGTCACCGCCAAGTGCAACTATAACGAAAGCCTATAGTGCCATCAAGTATATATGTTCAAAAAGTGAAGTATATTTTTTTCTAAGATCGTTTTATGAGACGTTTCTGTGAGATATATTTTTTAGAAACATCGTTTCTAATGTGGGAATTTTTTTACCATTGATATAAGCAAATTAACAGGTTTTAGCTCTTGGACAATACTTAATTTTTGAATATTGCAGAGTTAAGCTCTGGTGTTGGGATACAATCCGAAATTTGTGAAGGTTTAATTGAATTTAAAACACCTCTTAACTTTCCATATGCGGTTGTATTTCGCTTACCATGGCAGAAGCCGTGATCATCTGCAGCCCACCAGACGCCCCAATCACGGCCTTGACCTCGTCATCCTTATCAACGAGGACAAGGGGCGTCATGGACGTCAGGGGTCGCTTGCCCGGCTTGATGAAGTTGGCAGGTGACGGCTGCAGCCCGTGCACGGCAGAGCTGCTCGGCAGCGAGAAATCGCCCATGGCCGCGTTGAATATGATCCCGGTTCGTGTACCGCGTACTTTGGCACCGAAGCTGCCAAACAGAAAGAGATGAAAATGAAAGACCTACCGGCATAAGCTTGATATCTCTCACCAAATGACAGTTGAAAACATCTGCAACCATTTCGCACTGCCTTGTAGGTCTAAACGCCTGAGCGCAATATGCAGTATAAATTTTAAGCAAACGGTTTTTAATTGTGGCTTTGATAACCACAGATTTGATTGAATAGGCAAATTGTTTCACAGTTCACACGACTGTACCTCAAAATTTACCCTCATATTATAAATCATACACCTGGGCGGATCATCTTGTCACAAACAATACATGTCTGTCATAATTGCTTCCAAACGACATGTGGAAAGGCGCCATTCTTCCATTACCACTACCTACTGCAGATGTTCAGATGTTCACTGCCAATCTCCAAACGCTTTGTCCATTTACATTTGTTTTGTAATGCTCATTATGACAATAATCTTAACATTTCTATTAATAGTACAGTAGGTAATCATGTTACCAATAAATAGAGCTATTATTATTGCCGGGCTTTTCATCATGTTTAACCCAAAATCAATTCTTTTTATCTCAGACCCTCATGGCAAAACCAGGACATTATGCACGTACTCGGAACTGATGGATGTGGTATAGGAGACAGCATTCCCCGCCTTGTCCTTGACCGAGATGTGAGTGGCACCACCAGCGGCGTCCATTTTGGGCGCGTACTTGCTCCCGTATTCTGGGAATTTTAAAGCTTTGTCCTGGATCTTCTCCCTGGTAGCGGTAGCCGTCGAAGTTTTCACCAATTCATCCGTGACCTGGATCCAAATGGAAATAATGAGAGACATTTTGAAGTGGATAAAAACACAACATTTTCTTTTTATTAAAACATTTTTAATTTAATCAAAAATTAGAATGTCAGTCAAGGGAGGTTCTTAAAATGACTTCAATGTTCTAAAAACACCATGACTGTATTTTATCATTACTGCAGTTAACACATATATCAGCCAAAAGTTTTTATATTTATCTCCCTTCTGGACGTGAGAAATTAATGTTCTTCATTATTTTCTACCTCCTTCACGCTTTCCTCAAATTCTGGATCACCAAGCCGACTTCGGTCAGCCAGGGCGAATTTGTACGCCTCCAACATACGGTGGTAAGTCTCTACTTCATTTTCCGTGTTCGCTGTGCTTCCCCAGTATAAGTCGTAGCCTTTGGAAAAACGCAAATACAGTGGAGTTTAAAGGGGAATATGGCAAGGGCCACGTGGCTACTCATCTTACTTCTTTTTAACAACAAGTATGCATGACACCAGGGTGTTTTTGAGGAAAAAATGGAGTTCAAGAAACAAGATTTCAACAACGAAAAATGTGCCGGTGTTATATACCAAAAACAAACTACCACCATTCCAAGATGTAATAACCATCCCCACACAGAATCATGATCATCTTACCTTCCAGAATATTCAGGATGTAATTTGTCAAAATGCCACTGGACGGTGGAGGCGGGGCATAGGCTGTTATACCCCTTGCAGCATACAGTTCCCCGCCACCAAGCTCCACCGACACCGTTTGCGAAATGTGTGCGCTGTAGGTTTTCAAGTCCTCCAAAGTGATATTGCCTCCTAAGATTGCATGGAAAAGTTTGACAATGAGAACATAACACGCTGATGCAGTAGTCTTCTAGCACTTCGATATAATCAGTGACCTTCTTGACCATCAGGACTACGTGAAAACTACTCATCAAAATTTAATTGAGCTGGACACTCTCGCTATATAATGTACTGACAAAATAGACATCACATTTTAGAAGATGCGCTGGCAACTTGCGAGGGATGTATGAGGAAGCATGCCCGAAGCGGCTCACCTGTATCGTTCACATCGTCCACAATCTTCTGTGCCAACTCTCCTTTATAAAATCCATCGGCTCCTGACGCAGCGATGGTCTCAAGAGTTGCCGCCAATTTGGGCAAGACAACTTCCTCCCCGCGCTGCTTAAGTCCATCACCATCCATCAGTATTTCACTGCAAGAAATTAGCACAGAGAATTCCGGGTAAGTTTCATGGGGCTTGTGTAAACTCTGAAAGTGTTAAAAATTTTCGTCGGTAGCAGCACAAAACGTGAAATACCTTGTTTCAACTTTCCACTCGACACGATAATGCTATCCATTTCCCAAGTAACCTGGCCCCTCAAATTTCGTATTCCTCTGGCAGATACACTGTTGCCATGTATAGCTTTTGTTTCTTACAACGCAATTTTGCTCTACACATTCTCTGAATCTCGAAAATTTAAACTAGGGACTGGACGTTTTTGAGTGAAAATTCAGATGGATTTAATTACCGCAATCCTGGATCTGCAAGAATGGCCTCCTCGTTTGCTGCAATGGCATTGGCGAGTGCCTCACCGATCGAAAACCCTCTCTTCGCCAGTCGGATGGAGGGCTCCACAAGGCTTGCCCACGACAGCGCCCCGCCGTATGTTTTGTGCGCTTGGTAGAGACCGGCCACTTCGCCTGGAATCGCTATAGCCATGCCACCTGAGAGATAACATCATTCATGCTGATTGACAAATACTGTACTAAGCACACTTATAAATTCAATGATATCGTTAATAGCCCTCTCTCCTCTGTGCTGTAATCTTCATGTCGGCTGCCACACTTTGATTGTCGTCAGGTTAAGCCTCAATATCTACAGATGCATTCACCCATTCTGGGGACAGCCCGTGTTTTTATTTAGTGTTTTGATGGCTTGGTGCGGTTTTTAACACTTTGATGATTTTTTCTTTTGCAATTCCAGCCTTAAGATCAGTTTTTTGAGTGTCCTTGTGTACTGCCAAGGTTGTTCTGCGTATTGGTGCAACTTTGGCCAAGTCGGAATTAATCAAATAGGTCCAAGACACAACAAAATGATCGTATGTTCTAACGAACTGGTATAATTACTGTGAAGAACAAGATTCCTTCCAGGGGTATAGCAGCACACATTATTACAAGTTTGGTACATCATATTGAGTAATATCTATCAGTGTGAACAAAAAGTAGTAGTAAATGATTTTTTAAAAATTCCAAATTTTACAAAAAATGTCACAATTAATAGGGAGTGGTGCCAAGGTCTCCCTACTTTACGGAAATACAAACAGACCCCAGCCTTAATCATAAACTTAAAGAGTCAACATTTTGACATCAACTCCCATATTTTCGCACATCCATAAATCGTGGGAACAAAGATTAAATAAAAATATCATCAGAATAATTGACTTAACAAAAAAGGTTTGAAGCGAAGGCTTAAGATATTTTGACCTACAATATGCTGCCCTGGTAATGCGCGTTTGGTGGACATTACCTTGAGTAGCTTCGCCTTCGCGGTCAGTGAACATGTCCTCGCTGGCCCCGGCAGGCGCCACCGCGTGTCCATTGATGGCCACGGTCGTGACTCCGTTCTCCACGTTCACGCTACTCTTATTGTAGAAAGTCAGGTAGCCGCCTCCTCCCACACCACCAACGTGAAGGTTTAGCACGCCTACACAAAAGGCTGTTCCTATGGCAGCGTCTAAGGCGTTGCCGCCGTTTTTCATTAAATCCCTGAGGTGTGCGCATGCGCACAGAATGAGTCAAAGAAAAAAGAGCAATGTGGTTTGACATCTTATTAAACCGAGGCACCAACTTATCTGCTTTTGCTTTCACGATTACAAATTATTTTGATTTCAGAGATATTTTACACAACATACAAGCTGCAAAATGAGCCAATGTACGATGGTCTTCGGAAGGTTTTGGCGTTTTATTGTATTCAGAATCGTTAAAATGTCAACGAAGTGTGGCATCCTTTGATGAGCACACGAAATAATTTATGTCATGAGGAACGAGGAGCAGTGCATAAGTCCCTGACAGTCCCTCACAAGTCATTCAGTCTTCAGTCAAGTTACAGTGTAGGCCTATTTAAATAAAATGGTCATAAAGATGAACAAAAAATTTGACTGGAGCGGGATTTGAACCTACGACCTCCGAAATACCGTACCGGTGCTCTACCAACTGAGCTATCCAGACCCATTGCTGGTTGCTCTTATCATTTGTCAGTATCTTTGTTCAGGAGGCGCTAGCCAGAAGCCATTAAACCTGAAACATCATATGGCCAGGGATCACGCCCCAATAACGCGATATAACGTGGGAAGTGGTGAACAGGGATCACTCGAAGAGGATACGGCTTTATGAACATAAATCAAGAAACAAACTACATGTATAAAGGAAAACGGGCCAGATAAAATGGAACAAACGCATTCATTTGTCTCTGCTCGCTCTGTTACGTATGACTGGTCATGTGAAAGGACTTGTCACTGGACTTGCGAAAGGATTTGTGATGGACTTAACTACAGCACTGAGTATTATGATGTAACACAGAACTCAGTTACATGTCACAATGCTTCAAAGTAGTCACAGGCGCACTTTTGTTTCATCTTTTAAACTGAAAAACAGTCAACATGCAATGTGATATATATACGCATGAAAACACACTTCAAGATTTCAAAATCCAGACAAATACAGAAATACACACGTATAGTAAGATTTCCTTACCTTCCAACTTCAGAGCAGAGTAGGCGATCGGATGCCACAGCACCATTATAGAATTGGTAAGGATTTAATTTTGGATCGGGGTGACCCAACCCCAGACCCAAACCTAGGGCGACAAAGAATCCCACACCCAGGAGGACAACCATGAGGAGGAACCAGTAGGAAGGGACGGAGCGCTCGTCCTTTGTCCTACCCCCGGGGTTCTTCCTTTTCCGTGCGGCTTCCCTGGGGAAAGGAGGAAACAAAAACGAGTAGAAATAGATTCAGAGCCCGACTACGGGGGGTCGGTACATTTAGAGGCAATTCGATAACAACAAATGACGGTCATTTCATGTCCAATCACAGAATGGGTTACACTCTAGTCCTTGCTGTTCGGAACGTAGTTAGTGTAACTGTGCTTTTATGTTATAGAAAGTCACTTGCAAAACTATTTGAAATTTCGGTATAATGGACACAGCCTCAATTTCTAAATTATCTCCCTAAGCTGTGTGCCGAAATTGTTGATATTAGTGTCTGTCGAAAGGTGACATTATCAGGAATCCCCACATGCGACGATTTTTATTATATCGGAGCAATTGAAGGCATGATGACCGTTTGATCTATAATTCGACACCTGAACCTGTATCACGTAGCCTTGAGGTGGGCCCTTGATGAAAATCATATCCAGCATTTTTTACAAAATATCCCAAGCGGCATAGAGACATTGTTGGCTTGTTTGTTCACCTCAAAATTGGCATACTCGTTGCGATATGTGACAGTCTAAAGTTTTATTACTGAAACAGCATATAACCGTAGAAAAAATTCAGAATAGTGCTAGAGAAAACAAAATTTTAGACAGAAACTTACACGTCATATTTTGTCTTTCCATGGTGTGCCGATATACTTAAACTGTAGAAAAAGGCAAATGAAAATAAAAGTTGTAGCAGTTGTATAAAAGGTTCTGATAACAAAAGATACAAATCCGCGACGTAAAATACCTAAATGCTGGCATCAAAGGGTGAATGTACAAATTAAAACAAAACCTGGATTAATTTTCCCAGGAAATTGCGTAAAGACTTACTCCACTTCGTCAAATCCATGTGGTTCCCCTGCCTTCTCAGTTGGGTTTCCGTCACGTCCCGCAGCTTCATCTTCTTGCTGATATCTGTGGGAATTGGTAAATGCAAACAGCATTATATTTTTGGCAGATAGTTATATCCAGGATATCACATCCCTGGAAAAAAATGGTAAAATCTGTACATATTTATGGGCGATGCCAGTACGGGCAAAGGCTACAGCTCTTTCTGGGCAGCGGCAGATTGACAACGTATCAGTAGCGGTTGTGGGGGGGGGAATTTTTATTCCCTTTCATCCCTTTTTTGTTTTATTTCATTTTTCCCTTTCTACTTTTCAAAAATATTTTCTAAAATTTTCCAGGGAAAATTAAGGTAGTTGGCCTTTGTGCCCCCAGACCCCATGGTGTTACTATCTCTATACGAAACATAATGTATACTACAAAAAGTATTGACTTACATCCATTCAATTTGAAACCTTTTAACTTTTAATTGATATGAAAAGTCTACCATTTCAAAATGGCTTCGTACATGCACATGTATAAGAATATTAATGCATGCACGATATACGCTGTAAAACTGAAGTGATGAAGTATACACTGCAGTATTTGAGTATCAAATTTCACTTGTATGAATTTCTTTAGACAAGTAAATGGGTACTCATGTACTCCATCAAATAACTACTTCATGTCGATCAAGAACGGGAAAAGTTCACAAAGTTCAACTAGCAGGGTGCCGTTCCTATTTTGGGCAAATCGGGAGGAAAAACAGGTTCAAGAGCGATAGGAGGCACATCGTAAAAATGTGGAAGTAATTTAGGCCGTGGCGGCATCAAGATTTTGTACCACTGTGCCTCGTGTAAGTCATGAGGAAAAACTGGTTTAATAAACCAAAACTCCAAAGCCTTTTTCCCATGAATCTCTTTGAATTCTCGAACCAACCCTACATTGAGCAAGACCCTAATAGCAGTCACTCCCCAAGCGTCAACTTTCAAGGTGCTCACATGCTCTCTGTAGGCCTATTCCTTAGATCTGCAAAATTATCCAAACTCTATTGTAGATTTTGAAGGAAATAAGAGGGTCGGGCTTATCGATTTATTTTATGTCATCATAGGGGCATCAGGAGTGTGCGGAAGAAATTTCCTTGATAGGAAAAAAAAAGAAGGAATAAACTGTAAAGGTCAACGACAGTTTGAGTCGACTATATGAATGTGATTGTATGGCGACATTGGTGACATCGGTAGTGACGGTGGTGATGGTGGCCGTAGGCCTACAACGATGACGAAGGCCACGGTGACGAGACTTATATGACAAAGATTATTTTGTCTATACCTAGCTTTTAATTTGGATGTGGAATTAAAACTCAAGGTGTCACACATACATGACGTTGCTCTTTGTCATAGATTAAGATACGTGACAGAAAAAAATGAGATGTTATCTGTTCCACACACAACAGACGTCCCATGAACTATTCCGATAATTTTGCCTATTTCCCATACAACAGCCGTGACCGCACCGTGGCCCTGCGACCTCGCACGCTGTTCTCTCACGCTGATTTCCTCCTTGCATGCCCGACAGCTTCTCATGGTATATTACATGAGCAATCACCAACTGCGTTTCTCGTGTAGCTAGTTCATTTAGGCCCACCTGACAACCCTAAACAGGACGAGATTGGTACAACAGGCAAATTCAACCATGAAAAATTAAATCAACCAAGTGGGTGTAATTTTTTTATTGTATATTTGTCCAAAAACAGCCGAAGATTCGCCATTCGCAACGCGTTCTACGCACACACTCCTTTTTGCTTTGGGAAACCAATGTTGAACCGATATTTATCAACTCGACGTCCTCTTACCTGTTCTCCAGCCGACCATTTCCGACACAGAGTTTGTAACCCCGATTTGTTCCTTTGCTCGTGTGCATTTTATCTCTCATTTTTTGAATGAATCCCCTTTTTACAGTCCAAAATGGCTGTGCCAAAAGACCACGGATATTGTGTACCGTTTAATATACACAGTCCATTTAACTACGTAATGCTTGACCTGTCCTGCCTGCATGCGGTAAAAATACCGCAACACGCTCACGCAATATTTCCACGTACTGCGCAGCGGTTGTCAGGATTACGGCATGAATATTAACAATGTACCAAGGCCGCGTAGCCCTGACTCAGTGGTATTCGAGGAATAAAAAGAAAAGTGGGGGTGGGGAGAGAATGCAGTACTACGGAAGATTCTACAGGCCATCAAATCGATATCCAAAGTACGTTTGAACTCATGCAGCTGAGTTGAGCACACCTTCAAGAGTTTGCAACGCGTTGGCCAATAACAATGCGCCAAATCCGTCGACCCTTTTCAAACGCGCATTGGGTTGTTATTATTAGGCCTATTACGATTATCTTTGATTTACCAGGGAGACCCATTTACGTATAATTGTGGTCTTCCATGGTGCCCTGGGAAGTAAATTAAGTTAAAATAAATAAAAATGGGATTACTAACACCAAAGATACAATGTACTCAATTATACAATGCTGAAATTAGTCAAAATAAATAAAAAGAGATAGAATTACGAGTACAATATAGTACAATATGCACAAATAAACAAGGACAGGGACAAATCAAACCCCACAAGGATTAAAATAGTAATGAACAAACTACACGTAAAAGTAAATAGAATAATTATAAAATGCATTGGGAATAAAAACTAGAATAAAATCATGATGATTACAAAGAGGTAATTTTAAATTACAAGACAGTACAGTATATTATGGAATAGTTGAATTACCAATTTATCATACAAATAAGACAACAAAATACATGTGTAAATATAATTAAAAAACAGAAGTTCAAAGGTTTGTTTCAAAAGCGGTTTAAAATGTGACAAGGATGGCGCCGAGCGAAGTGTGGTACTCAAGGTATTCCATATTCTAGAGCATTCAATAATAGGGTTATGTTTGTAGCACTCAGATTTGTAAAGTGGCATCTTTATTAAATACTAGTGTTGTGGTCAACCTCTGCGGCTTTTGCGACATTCCTTGAAGGTACGGCAGTGCAAGATCACGAGTACATTAAAACATAAAAACTGCCTTTAAGTAAAATGAATCGGTGGTGTAATGGCAACCACCCTAGTTCTTTATTGAGTTCGTTTGATAGAGTGTCAACCCTTGGACAAGATTAAACGTGCTGCATACTTTTGCATCGACAGATATGTCGACAATTGCAAATTTCGGTGCATTGTGATTGGCCAACGTGTTACAAACTCTCAACGTTACAAATGACGCGCCATTGTGAATCGCCCGTATTGATCAGGTATAACATCTTAACTTACTATACCTGATCATCCGAAATAGTTACTTTGACTTCTGAATCGAATTCTACATCTTCAGATGAAACTTCTTGTAATCAGGTTTATTCCTATAGGATATGTTTACCCGGTGAGATGAGCTACTTATATTGATTTAAATCATCTGTTATCTTTGCATAAAGATAAAGATAAAATATTCAGTGGAAATTTCAACTGAATATTGAATCCAATCCAGTAAATTTGGAGGTTTTCTACGAATCAAGTAGAATCCGATCCACTTCAAGCTCGTTTAACCCCAAGTCATTTTTAGAACATTCCTACATCTTCAACCGTTGAGAATTCGCGCAGGCAATCCAGGTTTTGTTCAAGTTTTGTTTTTTAATTGTTTGTTTCTAAAGGAGATTGTGTGCACGATGGCCGAATTTGTTGCCTATGCATGTCAGAAGTATGGGGGACTCGCTAGAAGGTCTACTGAGATTCATGACGTCAGACATCTGACATTTCAGAAGCAATTCCACAAGGCTATATCTGTATACTACTCAAGACATTAGCTTCTTTGCGGGTCAAAACGTCATAATACTTCACATGGGTTGTTCAAATTTCTAAAATATTCAAGGGTTATTTAACCTGAACCCTATCGATGTTTTTTCTTTTTTTTCCCCCATATTTTCAATGGCCAGTGCAAACCATTTTTTGCTTTTGTTTGTTTTAAAGTTCAAGGATAAATCACGCAACACCAAAGTGAGGTCACTAACGATCAACATCTTCGATTCAACTGACAATCTGGGACAAGCTGGCCCTAACAATCAGACTAACCACTAAATACAAAGAAAAGGAACATCTAGGAAAACATTCTAAGCATAGCCTTAATCATAAAACACGGCAAACCCAGTTCAAAAAGAAAAGGATGCATGCACATGTAGTATTTAATGTCGCCCATAGTGTACAAACTCTAGGGAAAAATACAAATTTTCTTTTGTTAAAATGTATGTCTACTAAGGCGAAAGCCTAACTGTTTTGAGTATGCCGTATTCGAGCTCTTTGTTTTGGTTTTGAGCAGGCTTGAAATAGTTGAACTCCTAAAGAGATTGTAAAAAAAAACACATTCGTTCCAGTTCCTTTTGAATAACCTCTATTTTCTAACTTAACGAAAGCTTGACCCAAATGCAGCGTTTGGCACAGTTATTTAAATTGCCCCTTGCTCGACGCTGGACCTGCAGGACGGAGAGCTTCGATGATGGAGGCACAACCCTGGATCATCCATTCCAAACATTCTTACTTTTTGAAGTCAACATTAGTTAACGAAATTTCAACGCCATGATCAATATAGGCCCATACGTGTGGATCACTTGGTGCATGGTACAGTTGAGGCTGACTTACCCGTCGTTCTCCATTCCGTGTCCCTCGTCTAGCCCTGCTGATACCATGGCCTCGGTCCTGTCTCTAGTGGATTCGCGTCGAGCGATCGCAAAGATATACATGGATATTTAACCTCACACAATTATGTAAATTTCAGACATCTGATAAGGCCTCGGTTTAAACAACGCAACAAACCCTGCTGGTTCCAACCAAGGGTGTGCCACAGTGACTGTCCTGGACTTTAAACCAACGTGTTCTTTTTTTTTTTAAAGCCCGCAAGCGCGACCTGAGAGGGTAAACATGATGAACAATAGGTTAGCTCTGGAATAACTAACAATGCGTACATTATTCTGTGCTTCGTGAAATCTTTAACGGCTGGTCGGTCTATGCAAATCTTTCCATTCAAGTTGGAGGGTTCAAATAGGCAGTGCGTCTGCACCCCCTTTCAGTCACACAGCCCAGGCAACTTGGGGGGCAGAAGGCTGGAATCGAGTATTATGAGGCTGACAGAGAGGAATTTTACTACATTTTGTAAACAAAATGCATGCATTGATAAATGCAGAACATGAAAATATATGATCAGCGTGAAAATGAAATATCCAGATCTATTTCTAACTCCATGATCAGAGGTTGTAAACCAACCTTTCCCATTTGGAATTTCCAGTTTTAAACTTTTGCAGAGAAGTAAAAGTTACACGTGTAGTTGTTTACTTTAACCCTTTCCCCTAATTCGACATTATTGTAGTACGTAGTAAACAAGGCTTTCATGCATGCAGGATCTGACACCAAAAGTAATATTTTCGCCTTTTCATTTTCTGTCTCCACCTGAGTTGCCTGATTGCACTGACCTTTGGGAAGTATTTTTGTTAACTTTGTTGATTTTGATTGCTTTTCCACACGAATTGCCAAGTGAAGTTTCTTGTCTGTCTTTATTTTGGGGAGTTGAGTCACATGCTACATTGCACCGATCCCCCCCCCTCCCCCAGCGGAGGTCGTACCCCCGTAATTTTTGAAATTTCCAAATCTACCTAGCCTGTGTACAAGCCGCAGTTCATCAAGTCGGCTTTCGGCCCCCAACAAAATTTGAGCATCTCCGGATACTCTCTAGAAATGCCACCTTAGTTATGCCACATCATGTTGCCGAGCCGTGGCCAAAGTTCAATTCAAGTTTCACCGCTTACTTCTGCGGGTACTTTTGCCATTTCTTTCGTGCAGGACTGCAGTTCTATCTAAATACATGTAGGGCCTATGTAGGATAGCTAAAAAATATGAAATAATATATAAAGTATACGTTTGCCTTTTTATCGACCATTTCCCCCCAAATACAAACAGAAACAAATTTTGTCATTACTAAAATGTCATTGAAATGATAATTAGTTTTGTTTGGTAAAAGACCTTGCAAAGAGAGAAAAGAAAAAAAAAGCTACATTCCCATGCCGGGAATCGAACCCGGGCCGCGTGGGTGAAAACCACGAATCCTAACCACTAGACCACATGGGATCTCTGAACAATAATGAGAAATGTAGACTTATAAATATTTAATTTTATTCGTAGTTCAAATTTCAGCTTAGTACTAGTAGTTAATGACAGAAGAATATATTGTGGGAAGTCCAGTTTTCGAGTGACGAGAGATCAACTGACGTAAAATACCATCAGACTTGCTGAAGATCTTCTCTCCTCCCTTCTGGTGTGGGAAGTTAAGGCCATGGCAGCCTAAGTTGCACTCGTAAATATCCTAAGTTCATCCTATTTAGGCCTAGTTTACAAGATACAAAAACCACGGAGGTCGCAGGGGCAAGTAATATTCATTACGGTGTCTTTTTAAGTTTCAAATTACAATGGTTCAAAGTCGCTGTTCGTGTATAACTGAAGTCACGTGACCCCACTGACAATTAACTGAGCATAAACATGCGGGGAAAGTACGGGCGCTTAGAAAAGACATGTTCCTTATATCATTTTCTCACTGCCTCGCAAATCGTTTTGCCCTCACATTCGGAGGGATGAGTTGACATATTGCAAAACTTATATTTTCTATGAAAATGGTCGATTCCTGCATGCGTATTAAACATCTAAATTAATACTTATGTTTCTAAGAAGAGTCATTCAATACTAATTAATAAGTAAATGCAGTGCATCACAGTGAAGAAGAAGAGACCACAGAAACTGTAACTTTTAAAATATACATGTATTAGCTGTTTGATAATAACATTGAAATATTTCCATTGCACACTAATACAGTTTCACTAAAAAACTGGAGCCCACCGGCAGCGCTGCCTTGCAGGTGCAGATAAATGACAAACTTTCCAATTCGCTCGTCGCCCAGGGAAGGGCTGATGGCCTTGCACGGGTTTTAGTGAAGAAAATACGTCGAGCAGGGTCACATGCAGCTAACAACGCGCAGAGTATTGTGGGTAAATTTTTACAGGCGCGCGAACTAGTTATCAGTACGGGCAATTCATAATAATGCGCCCCCAAGAGTTTGCAACTCGTTGGTCAATCACAGTACACGACATCTGTCAACTCAATGCGCATTTGGAAATTATCGATAGAAGTTCTCGCGTTGGGATTCGCCAACACTATTGCGAATCGCCCGTCTTCGATATTTTTATTTTTCTTCCAGTGCTTAAAATTAGTTTCTCTACACTTTATTAGTTCATCCAAAATCGATCAAGATAACCAGTGATTTGAAATGTATCTCCAAAAGACATGTGTTCAGTGATAACCTAAAAAGAAGATAAATTACCGTGATTGTACCGAGGCCATATTTTTATCATGTAAGCGGCGACACCTTGACATTTTTGGCTAACTTAACATAATAGGAAGTCACAACCTCGCGGTCGGAGGTAGTGCACAAGGTAGTAAATCACATGCAAAGCCATTAGCCCTTCATAGGCCGTGTTTGGGCGCTGGGCGACGAGCGCACATTTCCAATCAGTGATGTTAGAGTGTAACTAGCGCCCGCTTGTGACCGAGATGTGTAAATAAAAGAATTAGGGCCTTTTCCAAGAAACAAAACCACGAGAGATTAATAATTGGCATGAATGCTCATATGACGATACGCGGTTGTATCTTCTTTTGTGTTGATGGAATCTTTGGAATTGCTTTCAGATTTCCTGGGGGGTGCAGTAGACACAATAGCCTTAGGGTATACAGCTTGCGCATCACATTGGGGGGTCCCCCTTTCATACCTCTTGTCGTGCGGGGTATCTGAATGTTTGTAGAGATTGCAGCCTTTTAAACCCCCAGTGAAAGAAAGCAGCTAGCTACTTCCTGCAGAGCACACGGACTTAATATAAGCTTTGGAATGAGTGGTTCAGCATTATGCGGGAACAAACATACCATTGTACTCGAGCCCGGTTGCCAAGATTTACTGGTTCCAAAGCCTGAATGCCGCAACACTGTACCTATACTGATCAAATAGGCCTATGCCACTGGGTTGATCAAACAGCCACATGTAATGGTGGGCTACTGCTTGTACTGGGTATTAGAGTCATTAGTCTTAAGGGAGTGTCAATAATGACGTGATGAGCTAGAATTAGTGAAAAACCCCTATTTCATTGATCTTATTTATTTTATTTGGTGGAAACCTTCCCAAGAAAAAGATCAGTCAGGTCAATTTAGGCTATCGGTGAGGATTATTGTTAGACTTTCAAGGTAGCGTTGGAGTATCTCATCAAGCCAGGCGCCCTCTTGTGTTTATCCTGAGAAAGTTCATGGTGAAGCTTCTCTCAGCTTCTCTGAGTTAAAGGCAAGCTGGTAGCATGATGTTTGGGTGTAAACTAACATCTACCTTGTTTCTGTTCGTGTTCGTAGATTGATTTCGGGATTCCATTTTGAATTTTTTTCTCTGAAGTTTGTCTTTGAACTGAACCTCAGAATCATCGGCATGGATATCATATTCCCTGCAAGACTCCCAGCTTCAGAGTGTTTTATGGGAGGGCAAGTCCAGAAATAACACTTGGCGCAATTGTGTTCGTATGGTCAATGACCGAAGAGGCTGCAGTGGGGAAGAAAAGTAATGAAAGGATACCAATTTGCTTGCATGTTGTTTTGGCGTCAAGCATGGTCGACTCCTCGTCTATTCTGCTCCATTGCAGTGATTCCAACTGCAACCTGTGTGTTATTATTGAGGACTTCCACCCCCTGCAGCCCATTCATGCCGTGCTCCCCACTGTCATTTTTGCACAAAGTCGAGCCTGCGCCAACAATGAATCCCCTCGTAGTGACTGCTCCGGGTCCTGCTATTCTGGACAACTACAGTAAGTATTTTTGAAAAGACACAGACAGATTGTTCTTTGATTCGATCAGTTCTGAATTGATATATTGCGTGCATCAGCAATGAAAGGGGAAACGAAGCAACAAAAGGATAAATCTACAGCGGATACCGCGTGGCATTCATCCAAGCAACTTATCGCTTCCGTATATTGCTATCAATCCAAACAGGCCGGTTCCCGCCAATTGCCTTTCCGTGTTTCCCGCTCACCGGAATCTCCCGTGCACTCTCAAGGTCTGCCGTCTGATCAGTGAGAAGTTTCTCTGTTTACGATGAATAACAGGAATAAGAGCTCGTATACAGTGACAAAAATGATCGTTCAAAATTGTCAGACAAGAGGGCCTTCCCTCTTTCCACACTGTCACTGCACGACTTTGTGATCTCAGATTGTTTTGTCCTGCATCCTTGCGTCTTCTTTTCCTCAACTCATAAATTGGCTAAGAAAGGTTTTCCGTTTTTTATAGCTCAAACGGGACCTGCATTGAGCATGAATCATTAAGAATAGTTTCACTTGAATCTCGGCGTCCGTTGTTGGTGTTACAATGAAACACGAATCATCGTCCACTGTCATCCGGAATCTGTTCCAAACCGAAAATAATCCACATGTTATTAATAGGGCGGATGCAGATTCAATAAGGAAGACGAAAAAGCAATACCAGTTACTCATTCGACGAGAAAAATAACTGTCGTCACTGGCCTGGACGTTATGGCGCTGCAACGACTCCAGGTGTGACCTGCGCTTTGAGCATGGGAATATTGAAGCCATCAGATCTTTTTGACATTTGAGATCGATATTGGTCTTGGTTCAAAACATGGGTCCGCAGCTCTAGTACTGCTGCAGTCAATGGCTTACTGCACCGGCATAATTACTCCGGATTTTCAGCCAGACTGAGGAAGTCATTCGTATTATATTAACAGCTCCCTCTACCGGGTCCATGAACCCTGCATGGTCCAGCTGGATGTGGGAAACCGCTCCATCACGATCCCGAAACAATCACCCAGAATAAAAGAGGAATTTTGAATCAATGTTGGCACCTACCGCACCAGGAATATACAAAGGTCTGAATGAAAAGAGAGTCGATTTTCGGATCGAAAATACCTGGATTTTCCAAGTCGATCTCCATCCCGTCCAGACATCTGATTGGTTGACCCTGTGATGACGTACCGCAACTTGGGTGAGATTTCAGGGGACCAGCTGACAGCGTGGCTGACTCAGGCTCATGCTATAGCATGTTCGGCAATTTCCTCGGACTTGGATGAATTGATTAGAGGCCTGTTGGTCCGTCACATGTCACCGGGAGGCCTGCACAGCTCATTAGGAAACTCCAGCAGCCCTGCCATTGGAACAATCAACAACCAGTCAATCATTGTCTGGAGCTGGCCCGACCAAGTCACTTCACAACGTGCAGTGTGAGTAGCGGGCTTCGTAGCGGGAGCTGCTTGATCGCCAACACCGGTAGCTGGGGTGCTCGTCCCCGTGGCTTCTGCGTTGAGCAGCCTGGTGATGAATTAGCCAGCACCGGCCCACAATAAGAATTAAGCTCATTCCCCATTGAGCGCGAAAAGCAGTGACTCACAGCAGACAAGAGGGCCCCTTTGAGACTGAACATTAACATTAGAACAATTTGCACTGAGACTCTTTGATATTTTGCAATACAATTTGGGGGAAAACGCTCCACAAAATTCAGCACAAGCCTGAAAAATCGTTTTTGAGCTGACGACCTGCAATCTGAGGTGGTCTGGTTTTTCAATCCAGGAAACATTTCAGTCATGGAAGTACTGCGGAACTTGGAGGCCTGCGGTACTAGCCAGCTGGCCGCTGCTCGCAGGATCATCTGTACCGGTTTCCTAGCTCTGCTCGTCTTGTTCATTCTCCTACCGACTGCCGCCGTCAGTCAGCGGGCCACGTACCCTTCTCAACCAGTATCTAGCAGTCATCACGGCCATCACTATCGGACCAGGTAAGCACGGACATTCATTGTTGGGCGAGTTACCGGGGCGGGATGTTGGAGTTGATTTCGGACTTTTTGTACACGAAAACAGTGACAACTGCGTTTCAAGTTGCTGGGCCCATGGCCAAGCCATATCGCATGCCGAGACATTGTGTGAAATTATTGATCATTGTACATGTACAATGGGGAGGCTATGCCAGCCTAGTTGTCACAAAACCCCCAAAATTGTGGGTTTAACATCCGCCGACGTGAGAACGCTGCGGACAACGAATCCCACAGTTCTGGGGGTTGTTAATGTGATTTATTACACGTAGCCAGAGTAGACAAGGGATTTTGTTTAGGCGTGGGGATGAGGTGGACTGGGTTCAGGGAAGACAACCTAAAGGGTTATCAAACCAGCTGCGAATTAGCACTTACTCAGCGGTTGGAAATTTTGCGTGCATCGAGGGGGCCATAGTTGCAACTTACAGATGCTACAACCCCCCCCCCATAATACCGGTACCCCATCCAGTCGGTCCTGGTTTTTCCCACTCCCTGTATTCCCCGATATTCCCCGCAATGTGTTGTAATTCTCAATACGATACTCTTATGCTCATGGCTGTACAATTAGAGGAATTCAAAATCAGGTGTGAACAAACTAAGTTGACAAACGAAGCGTTCGCATTACGTGGATGGAAGTTGCAGTTTGCTTATTGCGAGCACAGAGGTATAGGATACTGTGGCCATTTGAATTGTCTTTTAGATTTTTAGATGTTAAAACAGTGCTTGGAGTGAGGATTTTCTCAATTTTCTGAGCTTTGAGAACAGTAAAGAGAACTTCTCGTCACATCATTACTGCAAATTTTTTAACTTCTGTGTTTGCTAATTAGTGCCCAACCCCAACAACAGGAAGCGAAACACAGCCCAACCCTTGACCAAAAGCGGCCGTCGCTCAAAACAAAGTTCATGAGCTACACCCAACAACTGTTCTATTGTGCTGTTGTAGGTCAGAACAGTGGAGCCAGACACAACTGGTAGAAGTTAGTCCAAGTACAAAGTTAGCGGCTGCAGGCCTCACATGGAACTCACTTGTTTTCGTGAGCGTCACTCACGCTTGAAAAAACGATGAGGCTCACCTTGTCTGAGCGCTCTGTTATGTGCATAGAGAAAGGAAACACAGATTTCCGTTCCCTGTGGATGAAGTGTGTAATAGGTCCCAAAATATTTCTCGGTGTAAGAACTATGCTCGTGTCTTCTGTGAGGCTGTCATTGTAAATAAACTTGTGCCAGATGGAGGCGGTTGCTCTAGTCCGCTTGACAAGGAAACCAGTGCCCACGTGTGGCACACATTGCGAGCGAAGTGTTACAAGGTTTCCCAGATGTGATTGCTATTTGCTGTCCTGTCGGAAATAATTACAGCGCTACGACTAGGCCAATATGTATATATATGTTCATGTATGATGGTATATCCCAAATGGACCGAGGAAAGGTCGTGTGACTTACCTTGTAGTTAACTTAGAGGTCAGCATAAGGTCTATGACATTGCACAAAATTAATCATCATACATCAAGCAGCGTTTGTGGCTGTTCAAATGGGGGGGGGATACTCATCTCCATACCTTTTGTCAGATTCTTGCTGAAGGAAAGGAATTCCTCAGTGGGTTCAGCTTTCTAACGTCTGAGGTTTTTGATTTTTGATTTTTTTGAATTCCACGACGGTGATGACTGCGATCGTCACGTGATTACCAGAAACCTGTCGGAGAAAAACAGTTTGGCATTTTGATAAGCACGCAACCACCGTACCTGCCGTTGTTTATCCGCGGTGGACATTTCTGATCATTAAGCATGTACCAGCGGAAATAACAATGGAAACAACATGGGCGTCCCTGGTTTCCCATCCCACTTATGATACTACGTGACACATTACGTGTGGTTTCAGGATGTTGGCCAAATGTGCGCTGTAACCTTGCGATGACATTTGGAGCTGACTTGTCAATAAGTCAGGCTCCATCTCCCTTCTTTAACTTGTTTAGGTCAAGGTCTGTCCAAGGTCAGTTCATCAACTTGTTTTCCCCCTCCTGAAACGCCAACATTTACTTGACCTCGTCAAATTTTTCAGCACTTAACTAAATTAAGAGACTGCCCCCCCCCTGATGTTGTCTTCCTTTGTTGTAGCCTAGAAAAATTACAGCGCAATAGGTCGGAAAAGAATGGGGGAATTCGACCTCGGAACAGGGAAAGGGAACCTGGTCGGAAGAGAAGATGGGTATAGTATGCATCACTCAACCTCAACTCCATCTTTGAAGAACTAGATTGGATCTTAATAAGTGGTTGTACACGCAGATGTCCAGTACCAAGAGCTCCCAAGAAGTTGAAGAACACATCATCCG